CGCCATTCAATCGATCTGGGCAGATCCTCTGGTTGCTCGGGTTTGTACAGAAGGGACTCCATGATGACCAGGTACCACCACCACCACCACCTCCACCTCCTCCTCCTCCTCCTCCTCCTCCTCCTCCTCCCTTCTCCTTCGCACTCAGCATCTCCTCCTATACTTCCTTGATCATCGTCATTTTCCATTGATACTTGCTCTTGTGATGCTTTCTTACAGCTGGCTCTCGCTGCCTTCAAACGAGTTGCTGCACTTTACGCAAAGTGCTGCAGTGGTAAAGAGGAGATCGGCGAGAGGACGAGGGGGAGAATAATGAGGAGGAGGAGGAGGAGGAGGAGGAGGAGGAGGAGGAGGAGGAGGAGGAGGATGCTCACAGGGAGGGGGGAGGAAGGCGGAGGGGAGCAGGAGGGGAGCAGCTGAGCTGCGGACCAGGTCCATGTTGTAGTGAGTGCGGTGCCATCATCTTCAGTGGAGGGGCTTATGCCTGCATCCTTTGCGGCATCCGAACGATCTGCGAGGACTGCTATGTGTCCATGTACTCGCTGGAAGGAGGAGAACCGCCTAAGGTGAGGGGCGCGATGAGCGTGGGAGGAGGGGGAGGGAGGCTGAGGGAGGAGTTGGTAGAAGGAGAAAGAAGAGGCTCGGAGGGAGGAGACTGACTGACTCTCGCTCTCCTCTCCTCCTAGACCTGCCATTCCTCCTCGTCGCTTCATCGCGCGTCTGTCGCGCTGACTGCTCGGCGCCCTGACTAATGGGGGAGCTGGGAGTTACTATTCTTTTTTCTTTACAAGTTTCTCACCTCTGGACCCCTCCATATGCCCTATCAAGCACCCCCTACCCTACACTACCCCCAACCCTAAATCTAAACCAGAATGTGGAGGAGCGAGCAAGACGAGGGCAAGGGCGAGCACGAGCACGAGCGAAGTAGTTCTCGCAGCAGTGGCTAAGGGCCTTCCAGTCTCTTGAGGTCAGGTCTTGCACGTTTCAACATCAGGAGATCTCCCTCATGTGCTCAGCAGTGACTTGAGCAAGTTCTACTGCAGGATTCCTGTGGCCTCGACCGTCAGGCGCCTTCCAGTGATAGAGCGAAGAACAAGAGCCGGCTCATCCTACTTTCTTCCGGCAACCATTGTCATGTACCTGCATCGGCATTTCTTGCTCAACCACGGCTACGCATCGACGCGCTCGTGCTAGGCATGCCTCCTCTTACCGATCACCCGGCAACTCCCGAAGCTCTTCATCGAGCCGTACGCGTCCGGTTAGATCACGAACATGTCCTTGCTGCTGACGGTCGTCCCCTTCGCCTCGTCTTGGGCATGGTTCTGACATGTCTCGATGGTCACCTCGCTTGCATGCCGCTGGCATAACTTCATCATGCGGTCCGAGTCGAGCACCACGGACATGAGCTTGCAGAGCTCGTCGGGCGCCATCCCGATCATCTCGTAGCTGGAGGGACCGAACAACTCCCGCAGGAACATGATGCAGTAGTTGCGCTCGTTGGTGTTTCCCTTGCTCCACAGGCACCGGAAGAACGAGGGGTCCCTGAAGAAGACCTCGTTGCAAGCGTCCAAAACAGAACATACCAGCAGAGGGAGATCCTTACTAGCTGCTCCTCGAGGCTGTGGATGTGATGCGGATACCACGTCGGGATCCCTGCCAGCGGCTTCATCATCAGCATGTACCCGACCACCTACAGCAAGGAGGACGTGGCAACGGTGAGTTCCTCCATCGACGGGACCGTACTTCGTCGGGTAGACCGTGCGGAGCGGTCTACCGCTCCGCACGGTAGACCGCACCGCTCGCTACATCGCAGCATCTCCGGAACCGTGCACCGGCTGACATCTCCTGCGAAGCAGTGCATCGTCACCGGGACTGCTCGGTGACGTAGAGCAGGTCCCCCTCGACAAAACACCTGACCCAGTTTCCAGGCAAGCACCTCCTCGCGGTAGAGCTGCACACACGCCTCCACGAACCACACGAGTAGTAGAACGTGTGGCAGTTCACCACCAGGTATCCCTCAGTCTTCTATGCACGTTGTTGGTGAGTCGTAGCTCCAACTCCCTGAAGCTGTGCTTGTCCGAGGGTCGCTCATGAGGGTTATCAAGAACTTGCCGACCACGTAGGTCTTTCAACGTCGCTCTCAAGGATCAGCCTGCAGATTTCCAGAGGGATCATACTCGTCGGACGTTTTAGACTCGGAGATCTGTTACTATTCTTTTTTTCTTTACCCTGGATTGGAGGGGTGGATAGGTGCCTATCCACCCCTCCAATCCAGGGCTCAAATACCCCCTCCCTTACGACAACACCCACCCCCTCGTTTCCCTCGTTTTTAACCCCTGGTTTGAAATCTGCCCTATATTGTATGCTGTCGATTCACCCCACCCCCTCCCTCTCCCAAGCAATGACCCCACCCACGGATACTAGAGGGCGAAATGACATAGCAAGGCAAGCCATGTTCCCCCTGCTGCTGCTGCTGCTCCTCCTCCTGCTCCTGCTCCTGCCGTTTCTGATCCTCCTCCTCCTTCTGCTTCTGCTTCTACTTCTGCTGCATCTGCACCTTCTCTCGCATCTGCTTCTCCCCCGCCTTCATGCCCCTCTGTCCTGTTTCAGCTCCTCCCATCCCTGTCGCCTTGTTCTTGCTCAACCCGAGAGCTCGTGGAGCATCTCCTCACTTCATTCAAGAAGGCAGGGGCTTGTCAAGTCGGCATGGAAGCGTCGAAGCGAGAATGGATCAAGAGTGGCATTAGGACGGGAAAGGTCTGGCTCAAGGAGAACGTGGTAGAGCCGGTTCTCGGAGCTCTCGGCATTCAGGTTTGTCTTATGGTTGGTGGACGTGGGGCAGGGGGTGTGAGGCCTCTCAAGCTGCAGGAGGGAGCGGCGAATCGTAAAGATCAAGTCGAAGAGTTCTTTCACAACCTTGGTAGGCTCCATCCCCCCTGTCTGATCCTCCATCTTCTTCCTTCACCCTCTTCCCCTCCTCTCCCTCCTCTCCCTCCCCTCCCTCCCCTCCCTCCCCTCCCTCCCCTCCCTCCCCTCCCTCCTCTCCCTCCTCTCGCTCCTTTCACCTCTCCTTCCACCTCTCCCTCCCTTTTTTTTGATCTCCTTCTGTTAGGCGAAAAGGATGATCTCCGCAGTCTGTCTGTCATGCTGGCTGAGACATCGAAAGTTGACATCGTGGACATCAGCGCGTCGAAGAGGAGAGGAGCTCGGATTGCTGCCAGAAGTCCCACGACGAGTCCAGCTGCGCAGAGCGGGCAGGAGCGCAAGTCGTGGATCAAGAGGATCGCTGGGCCTCTGCTGGCTCGCTGTGGGAACAAGGAGGCGGTACAGGACGAGGACACGTACGACCTTTCCGACGAGGACGGGCTGACAGATAGCGAGGAGGGAGGAGTGGACTTCGATCCGGAGAGCCCACCAGGTTCTGACGTCAGCAGGCAGAGAGGTCAGGGGCAGAAGTCTAGCAGCGACAGTAGGTCGGGAACAAACTCCCCTGCTGCCGGCAGCTACTCGAGGCAGAGCCCGAGCGTCTCCCAGCAGGTCTTCGTGGACAGAGACGGTGAGCTTGCCTGTCTCCTTGCGCAGCTCCTGACTTGTCCCAGTAGAAGACGTGGACTTCGAAGAGGACGAGGAGGACGATGGAAGATTCAGCGGGTTCGGTAGGATTGCGAGGAGCGTTGTCACGCCGAATCCCTCCTTCGCTGACGTTCCGAGCGGCAACGAGGACGGGTCAAGCTTCTACTCGGCCAACCTGCAGAGGCCGCGGGCTCCTGGTCGGTCTCGGTCTCGTCGTCCGGTGTTTGCAACCAACGGGGGAGGAGCGTCGGGGATCGACTCGCTCTCCAGCTCCTTCTACGAGAACTCCGTCGAGTTTGACAAGCATCCCGATCTCATACCCTTCCGCGCGCTTCCTGCTGTCCCTTCTCCCTCTCCCGGTAAATTTCTATCCTCCTCCTCGCCTGCCCCTCTGCCTCCACCTCCTCCTGGCTGCTCTTCGTCCTCCTACTCTTGGTCGTCTTCAGCTTTCTTTCTTTTCTTGTCGCTTCCTCCAGCCGTTTTTGATAGTCGACGATGCAGGACGGATGAGTGGAGGAGGAGAGATTCCTGAGTTCTCGCCCTTGCCGACCCTTCCGAGGAATCTCGGTGGAGGAAGCGCGACTGGCGAGTTCAACGCTGCGAGCTATCCTGCTGAACCCTTCTATCCAGGACAGGCTGCTGCTGGTGGTGGTGGTGGTGGTGGTGGAGGAGGAGGAGGAGGAGGGGGATGGGGAGGAGGAGGAGGGGGATGGGGAGGAGGAGGTGGTGGTGAAAGCGGCGGCGGCGGCGGCGGCGGCGGCGGCGGCGGCGGCGGCGGTGCTGGAGGAGGAGGAGCTGGGGGGTTTAGCAGTGGTATTGGAGGCGCTGGAAATGTTGGAGGTGATGGAGGAGCAGGAAGTGGTGGAGGTGCAGGTGCATGTGGGGGAGGTGGAGGCGATTTGGGTGCAGGCAGCGGCGGCAAGATAGGAGGAGGGTCTGACAGGTCGGGACAGTCTGGGCATGTAGAGGCGGAGGAGAAGGGCAAACAGTCAGAAATGCGAGGAAGGGGAGGCGGAGAGCAAGAAAATCTTGGTACAGGTAAGAACTTTGAACCAGTTTTTTTGCTTCCCCCTGCTGCTCCTGCTGCTCCTGCTGCTCCTGCTGCTCCTGTCCCTTGTGCTCCTGTTCCTGCTGCTCCTCACTCCAAGAAAGGTTCTCCTTCATCCTCCAGCAAGAAGCATCTACCCGATGGACCACAAGATCGCACGGCAGACAAGCAGGGAGAGAGGGACCTCGACGAACTTCCTCTGCCTGCTCTTGCTGATACCAAGGAGGGAAACAAAATCGAGAAGCCCGACGCTTCTGATCCTCCTGATGCCTCAAGTGTGTCGCCTCCTCTTCCCCCTCCTCCCCCTCCCATGGGTGGACCAGGCGCTCCTCCTCCTCCACCTCCTCCTCCCCCCCTCCCTGGAATGGGAGGTATTCCCCCTCCCCCCCCTCCGCCTGGCATGGAAAGGTATTCCTCCCCCACCCCCCCCCCTCTCGGGGATGGGGGGGGGGCCTCCTCCCCCCCCGCCGACAGGCTTCTGGGCAAAGGGGAGTCCTGCCCAACAAGCTCTTGCACTGGAAGAAGATCCCAGCGCAGAATCTCCGAGAGTCGGTGTGGGCCTCGGAGAAGACGGTGGCAGTGGACGCGATCTCGGAGCACTCGACGGAGCTGGTCAAGTTGTTCTTTGAGGACCCGGCGGAGGAGAGGAAGAGGAAGAAAGCGGCGATGAAGGCGAGCTCGTCCAAGGACAAGAAGAAGGCAATCCAGCTCCTCGACCTCAAGCGTGCCAACAACATCGCGATCACTCTGTCGAGGTGCTGCCCTGCCCTTCCTCTGCTCTGCTCTGCTCTGCTCTGCTCTGCTCTGCTCTGCTCTACTCATCTCCCCCTCACTGTCCCCTCCCCTCCCCTCCTCTCCCCCGACTCCCCCCTCTCTTATCTCCCCTCGCTGCCTCCCTCCTCTTCCTGTAAGTCTCTTGGCAGGTTCAAGAGCTCCAACGCGGAGATCAAGAACGCGATCCTGACGCTGGACGAGGGTCTTCTCTCCCTCGAGCAGCTGCAGATGCTCCTGACGCTCCTGCCCACCCCCGACGAGATCCGCATGCTCAAGTCCTACAAGGGCGAAGTGGAGAAGCTCGGGCCCTCCGAGCAGTTCCTGCACACCATGGCGAAGATTCCCAAGGTGGAGGCGCGGGTGCAGGGCTTCATCTTCAAGCAGGAGTTCAACGCGAGGAAGAGTGAGCTCAAGGATAAAGTCACGCTCGTCGCCTCCGCCGCCAAGCGCGTCATCGAGAGCGTCAAGTTCAAGGGCATCCTCGAGATCACCCTGGCCCTCGGCAACTTCATGAACAGCGGGCACCAGCTGGGGAACGCGCAGGGCTTCAGCATTGAGAGCGTGTTGATGCTGTCGGGGATCCGCTCGGGCAGCAACAAGAAGATCACTCTCATGCACTACCTCGCCGCCCTCACCGCCTCCAAAGAGCCCTCCCTCCTCGACTTCAGCCACGACCTTCGCGACTGCCGCGACGCCGCGAACATCCCGCGGGAAGCGCTGAGCCTGGAGCTGAACCAGCTGCAGCAGTGCTGCGACGAGCTGAGAGACACGCTCTCGGACCTGACGCAGCCGAAGCAGGACAAGAAGGAGCACGACTCCTCCACCAGCACCTTCCTGCAGATCATGACGCACTTCCACAAGACAGCCAGCGGCGAGCTGGGGGAGGTCAGCCGAGGAGCAGCTGGAGTTTGAGTACTCATGTGCTGCAGGTCACTGAGAAGATGGAGCTGCTCGACAAGCGTTTCAAGGCTCTCGCCAAGTACTTTGGGGAGGTAGAAACCTCCGCGTTGCTCTCCCTCCCTCTCCCTCTCCCCCTCACCCTCCCTCTCCCTCTCCCCCTCCCTCTCCCCCTCCTTCCACTGAAAACTTGGCAGGACCCCAAATCCTTCAAGCCCAACGATTTCTTCAAGAATGTCGCTGTCTTCTGCGACGAGTTCGAGGTTCCCCTCCCTCCACCCACTTCATCTTACCCCCTTTTTTCCATCCTCGTTCATCCCCTCCTACTCCTGCTCCTCCTGCTCCTGCTCCTGCTCCTGCTCCTGCTCCTGCTCCTGCTCCTGCTCCTGCTTCTCTCTTTGCTCATGGCTGTCCTCGCAGAAGTCTCTCGAGGAGATCCGCCAGTACCAGAAGGAAGGCTCAGTTGGGCTCGAAGGTGAGGCCTCATGGTCGGTCAGGAGCAGCTGGGGGTTGACACGTGGACGTGCAGGCCTGCCGATGATCTGAAGGACTCCGGGAGGAGGAGGAGGAAGAGGAAGAGGAGGAGGAGCGTCAGTGTAACAATAGAGGAGGAGGACTGAGACGATGAACATCTGTCGAACCTCTGAGTCGGACTCACTGTGACGGTTGTCACAGAGTCAAGTCTCACCGTGACCCGGCGGCACGCCCGGTCGCCCGGGGGCTCGGGAGGCCGAGCAGTTGAACTGGACTGTGACTGTCGATCGGACTCCGTTCAAGGTTTTTGAGTCAGTCAAACGGGGCCGGCGGGCTGGGCCGGGCGCCCGCGGCCCGGGCCGCCGTTTGACTGACGGAGCTTCTCTGGTCTGCCAGCCTCGCTGATCGCACATCCATTCCTCCCTCCCACCCTACCCTACCTTCTCCCTTCCTTCCACCGGTAGTGTGCCCAATTATCACCCCTACCCTGACCCCTACATTCTATCGTCTCGTCAGACTACCCTACCATACTGAGTTACTGCAAGTACCCTACCAATTTTACCTAATCACGGTCTTGGATCCTACCTCTAGTACCACCCCACCCCCACTCTTGGCCCTCTGCCCTTCTCCAACCCTACCCTCACCCCTACCTCTCAGAATCAGGACCCCAATTGTGGTTGAGTACGCACTAAGTGAACGGACCCTACCCTTCATTATTGTCCCACCCCACCCTAATCAAATAGTGTCAAGTACCCCACTCCTCATATAATTTTTGATCGATCACCCCACGGTCAATGTTTACCTTTACTACCCCTAGACCAACATGACCCCTACCCCACCCCTCCTCCCAATAACCGCTATAACTGTTTTTTTTTCCGCCGCTTCTCCGCCATGCCCTTCCCCCGCCGCGTTTATGCGGGTGCTCAGAAGCAAGGGAGGAGGCGCGAAGCCATTGACCTGCTTCTGCTGTGCTCTGATCTCTTCATCTCTCCTCTCTCCTGCCTCCACTCTCTCCTCCTTCTCTGCTTTCTTCTCCCTCCTGCCTCAATTTCCTTTCCAGCTGAAACAACTCGCCCCAGCACTTGTTTTCGCCGCCGCTGCCGCTGTTCCTTTCTTCTTCTACTCTCTGTTGTCCTCGTTTAACTCATAGATGGCATCTCTATATCGCTCAACTCTTTGTACCTGCTTCTTGTCCTAACCTTGCCATTTTCCATCTCCACCTTCCTTCTCACTTCGAGTCTGCCTCTCATTACTGATTGTTTTCATTAGCTGCTTGTCTTCATGATTGAATCTTCCCTGCCATCTTATCTCAACGAGTGTTGTCGTGTTGTTGTTTTCTGCGCTTCTCAACCCATCGTGGCCACACCACTATTTCTGGTTCAAATTTCAATGAACCGAAAGCAACCATTGCATTCGAGTAGTGGTGTTCTTGACTGCATGCAACTCGCATGAAGATGGTGTTATGGTGTTCAATCTTGTGTGTTTGCGGGGGTCTCTTAAGTTTTCTCATTCGTTTGTACGATACTTGGGGATGGGATGTGTCGCAAGTTTGCAAAAACCGGATCGAATTTGCAGTTTGTAAAATGTCAATTTTTGTACGAGTGATGTCATGCATTTTGACTCTAGAATCTAGTTATGGAGCTGCATCCATTCTATGCTTAGCTTGATTGTGCAAGTTGTAGATAAGTTCGAATGATACCACAGCACAATCACATGTTCTGGCCTCGTTCCCTACTAGAGATTTCAATACCGTTTCAGTTCTTCTTAAAGTGGTATGCTTATGAATCTAACGAGGTCTCAGGTCATGCAGTGGGTCGGAATGCCAGTCCAGCCCGTGTTGTTCTAGTTCGAACTGAAGCCCGAGGTCTAGCCTGAATTTTCTCCCATTTTTCAACCAGGAAGGTACTTCGAGTACCCCCCGTTTGCTTCCTGAATGGTCCTTGACCCCTCGGCAGTAAGGGAGCTTCGTTCGAAATGTCAAAGTCTCCAGCCCAGGTATGCTGAGAGCTCGCAGACCATGAGGTATCCTTACGGTTGGACACAAGGGGGGTGGAGTTGCTGCGGCGAGCCCGCAAACGTTCCTAACGGATACTGATTACGAGAATATGACGATATGTTGGGCTGATTGCGAGGACTATGAAATAATTAGGAAGGTATTCGAAATCGTGCTGCCTCTTGCATAGTTTGTCATGAAATCGTGCGAGAGTGGTAGCAAAGTCGTGATTCGCTTCTTTTGGGAAGGTGGGAAGGGGAAAGTACAGCGAAGTGTTTGAAGGTTGGAAAGTATCGTCCGAGGAGAAAGTCATTATCAAGTGTCTGAAGCCTGTCAGGTAAGAGCTGTCTGACGAGGATCTGGTGACTTATACCACATGTAGACAAAGAAAGATCAAGAGAGAGATACGCATCTTGCAGAACTTGAGGGGAGGTCCGAACGTCATCCAGCTTCTTGACACCGTAAGAGTGAAAGTTGATGTGACACACGTGGATCTGTCGATGACTGGCCTGTAGGTTCGCGATCCAGGCTCAAAAACTCCAAGTTTGGTGTTTGAGCATGTAGCAAACACAGATTTCAAAATCTTGTACCCAACACTGACTGACATGGATATACGATATTACATTCATGAGGTACCCTTCTCCTCTCCTCTCCTCTCTCTCCCTTAGCTTATTTCGTCAGCTTCTGGTGGCTCTGGCATTCGCACATGCCAACGGTGTCATGCACAGAGACGTCAAGCCTCACAATGTGCGCATGCCCTTCACTTCGCCCCCGTCGAGTTCTGACAGACCGCAGGTCATGATCGATCACTCTCAGCGCAAGTTACGTCTGATCGATTGGGGTCTTGCCGAGTTTTTCTACCCAGGGACGGAGTACAACGTGCGTGTAGCATCGAGGTCGACATGTTGCTGTCCCCTGCCGTGTGTCCCTGACGGAGAGCTGGAGCAGATACTTCAAGGGACCTGAACTGCTAGTGGACTTCCGTGAATACGATTACTCCCTTGACATGTGGAGTCTTGGAGCAATGTTTGCAGGAATGGTAAGAACCTCGCTCCTCTGCTTCAGCCATGATTACAATAGCACGCTTGACACGCCTGGGAACAGATTTTTCGCAAGGAGCCATTTTTCCATGGACATGATAACTATGATCAACTCGTTAAGATCGCTAAGGTGTTGGGCACAGACGACCTGTTCGCCTACTTGGATAAGGTGACCTGCCTCATTCTCTCCCTTCCCTCTCTCCTCCTTCCCGTTCCTCCCCTCCCACGTGTGCCTCTCCCGTAGTTCCTCGCTCACTCTACTGTGCAGTACGACATTCAGCTGGATAGACACTACGATGGCATACTGGGCAAGCACCCGCGCAAGAGCTGGCAGTCGTTCGTGACCAGAGAAAATCAGCACCTTGTCAGCCCTGAGGCGATCGATTTCCTCGACCAGTCAGTCCCACCCTCGACTCCTTCCCTTGCTCACAGGATGCAGGTGCTTGCGGTACGACCACAAGACGCGGATCAGCCCGACCGACGCTCTCAAGCACGACTACTTTGTGCCTGTGAAGCACCTAGTGCCCAAGAGAGAAGGGAGCAACGCCTCCTCCGGCAAGTAGGAGGGGCAGCGGGCTTGAGAGCCACTTGCGGCCAGCGGGGGTCGAAGAGAAGGAGCGCGGAGAACAGGAGATCATTTTTCCTTGTTGATAGCATGTGGTCACATCGGTTAGTCCTGCGCAACTCGTGCGAGGAATTTAAGAAAGCGGATCTGTTGGTTTTGCCGGGCTTGCTGCTGCTGCTGCTCCTCCCTCCCTCGAGCTCAGTGCTTGAACGCGTGCACTGTGTCGACGAAAAACTTCACGTTGGGCTGAGGTGTGGTGGCCTCGATACCGTGCCCCAGGTTCATGATGTGATGCCTGCGTCCTTCGCTTTAGATCCCTTCCTCCCTCCCACCTTCTCCTTTCCCTCTCCACTCCTTCCCTCCTCCCGCTCATCTCATCATGCACTTGCATCCCCTCTACCCTTCCTCCCTTTCCGCTCCCCGTCAACTCTCTCACTCCTTCCTTCGTTCACGTTCCACCCATTCCTCCTCCTCCTCCTCATCCTCCTCCTCCTCCTCCTCCTCATCCTCCTCCTCCTCCTCCTCCTCCTCCTCCTCACAACACACTTCTCACCTTCCCTTAGCCATCTTCAGGATGCTCTCTGTGCGCTCCTTGATGATGTGCTCGGGGCCGTAGAGGATCGCCGGATCGAGGTTGCCCTGAAGGCCGATCTGCCAACATTCTCAGCTCCTTCCCAGCTCCTCCCCACCAGCCTACGTCTCTGCCGATCCTCCGACGAGCCTCGTCGATGGTGACGGTCCAGTCGAGCGAGACGATGTCAACCCCAGTGTCGGCCATGCGCTCCACGTGTGCCCCAGACTTAGCGATGTAGATGATGATGGGGACCTGACGGATCTGTGAGGAGGAGGAGGAGGAGGAGGAGGAGGAGGAGGAGGAGGAGGAGGAGGAGGAGGAGGAGGAGGAGGAGGAGGAGGAGGAGGAGGAGGAGGAGGAGGAGGAGCCGGCCGGAACCGCGCCCGGGCAGGCCAACGTGCCCTGAGCCTCCGGGGGCCGGCGGCCGGGACTCCCGGACTCCCGATGCCATCACCGTGTTCCGACGTCCTAGTCCAAAGTTACGCAGATATCACATCAACCTTAGTTGTAACAAGCCTGAGACAGTTTTTGCTCAAGACCGAGTTTAATGCACACTCAGGCTGGCAAAACCAGAATTGAGGAGCACATGAGAGATAGACTGTATGCTAGGATGTGAAACCCAAGCATCCAGACATGAGAGGACCGAGGCTTAGCAAGACACACGCTACATTGGCCGCCTCGCCACGTAAGTCGTCCGAAGTTGGTTTACAGGAGCCTGAACTTCCGAGGCTGGGCCGGCGGCTGCCGGCCACACGCCGGTCACCGCCCGGCGGTGACCCGGCGGCCGGGTGACTCCGAGTGCGGTCCGATCCGCTAGGCTCACAGAGGCAGTCAGGGAGCCTGG